CCCCAAAACCCCAAAACCCCAAAACCCCAAGAATTCTCGACCAACTTGAAGACCAACTGGGATAATAATATGGGCGAGCCTCTGATGACCTTAGAGGATTCTTATTTGCTGAGGCTAACATTATCATGAATGCTATGTGGCTCCTGTCTAAGCTAAGAGATACCATGATCCTCCTCTGAAGAGCTTTCTTTCCTGAAAGAAGATTCATCCAGCTTTCCATGTGGGTCCCTAAATTTGGTCAGGAATTTACATCAGATTTTGAAATCTGAAGAGATAATGAAGAGAGGGGTCATGGGTTATAAGATATTATACCAAATTGGAGAAAGTTACCAACCTTTTAGCAATAGCAGAGTTGAAAGATCTATCATTCAGCCCACTCTTACAAATTTGACTACTTTGTACCTTCGGCAAAGAGAGGACTTTAACTCTTGTGTGCTTTGATTTACACTTTTTGAGGAACCTATATACTGCTAAACTAAGACACAATTATCCCCTAAATCAACAGATAAGGCCTAAATATCTATCAAACTCATCGAAATCCTCTGAAAACTCACTAAATTATCAAGAACATCTCAAAACTACTGATTTCTCCAACCCCCAATCTCCTAAGCCAGCTATCTCCCTACCATTCTTTTCACTTCCTCCCACCCTGCTTTAAACGTCATGATCCGATTCAAATAACACCTGAAATCACAAATCCATTCACCATAATGATCATAATAAGCGCTGGTGACATCCAAGATTTCCAGTCATTTTCTTCCTGAAACATCGCTATTATAAAGCTCAGGACAAAAAATACAGACTCATTCAAAACTTCAATGATGTTGTCATTCTTAGACTCAAAAGGCATATTGAACACTAGATATTGGAAATAAAGGAATTGGATAATGAAGAAAATCGTTCATCTCATCGGAACTGAAGTGTTTCTCATTCAGACTAATCAGAAAGCCGTTACAATTCTCCTCACTAAAAATATTATAACGTAGAGTTTATTTCTTTTTCCCTTAGCATATCCCTCATAGAACTCAGCTAGCTTAGAGGTCTCTTTAACCTCTCCATCTGTGTTGTATCTTTTGAAGTGGAAATAAACCAGAAATGGAAGACCAATAAATCCAAGTAAAAACACAACAGATATTAAATATGACACCGAGTTCTTCGTGAATGAAGAGAATGTAGTGAATTCCAGCAGGCAGCTGATGAAGGCGAAGAGAAAAGTCTCTAGTATAAGCCTGATGTACACTGAGAAATAAAAAAATGAGATAAGCCATTTGTATAGTTTCTTCAACCATGTGTTCCTAAGTTTTGGGAGAAGATAGTACAAAGCAATAAACAGAAAGTTTAATGTTCCAATTATAACCATGGCTTTGAAGAATTGAAATTGGTTGACAAAGAAGCTTCCAGAACTTATCCCATTCTTCTCAAAGATTCCATTAGATGCCTTATAATTTAGCTCACTAGCAAGGTACTCTAGTCCTGGAACTTTAACTTTCTCAAGAAAATTGAAATCGAAGTTAAAAAGTTCAAATTCTGTTAAGTAAAATACGAACTCTGCAGGAAGATAGCTTTGCAAAAGTGGAAACAGCAGATATAACTGATATTGGTTCATCACAGCCCAGATAGCTGACGACCCAGAACCAGATGATGCTATCGAGCTCATTGCTCCAATACCAGCTGACGCAATAATCACAGCTGTGGTTGTCGCAGCAAGTGTTTCAGTTGGGAGGACTTCTCGAGTGCAAGATTTACCATCTTGTGATAACTGATATCCATCTTTACAGCTGATTCAATGGCCATCCTTTGTATCGTATTCTCACCCATTACAGTTAGAGATACCACAGTTGAAGAGCTTAATAGTGCTAAACTGGGTGTACACATATGAGGAATATTTGAAGTCAATTCCTATATAAAAAGTATTCTTTGAATCTTCTATTTCAGGTGCATCAGCAATAATTGCTGAGTAATCATCGTTCAAACTTATCCAAGATGGAGAGCCTTCATCATTCTGATTAGTGCCTATAGAAGCACTTAAAGTGTAAGAAGCGTCAGCCAGACATGGACTTGTAAAGTCTATTGTGTTCTTTCCTCCAGCAGGCACGTTAATCATCTGATATGAGCTATTCCTTGTGTTCAGAGGTACCAAATTTCTCTGATTTATTTGGATTTCAGTGTTAGATGTTGAAGAGATACTTAAAGAAGATAGAGTTCTATCAGATGTGACTGAATTTGCTGTAAAAGTAGATACAACAGTTATTGAAGGAGTACCTGGAGTATCCATTAAAGGATCTGAAATCTGTACTGCAGCCGAAATGAATGTATCATCAAATGGAATCTTATACATATAAGGATCATTTTGAGTACTTTCGTGAGTAGCTAAAAGGAAGTAGCCAAATTTAGCAGTCATAAAAGTCATTTCAACTGACTCTGCATAAGACCTTGCAAAAAATTTGGATGAGATGTCGTAAATCCAGATCAGATATTCTCCTGTGAAGCTGCTCATCATAAAGAGTTTATCAGAATCAGCAAGTTGGCCAATTGCTACAATATTACGGTTAATTGATTGGTGTCCAGAAGCTCTTGTTTTGTAATCTCCAGCATAAGTTCCATTAGTAAGGCCAATTAGAATGAGTGCATCAACTTGATTGTCATTTATGTATCCAACTGCGATTAGGTCATAAGCTTCAATAATTGCAGCTTTTGCCGATCTCATCGTTCCTCAGCTAGTTGTTCACCCGATCTTGATCCCAAAATTAGCAGTACTCTTCGGTAAACTATAGGAATAATATGTAATATCATTGGTAGCAGAGATAAAAGTGCCAACGATAAGACTTCTATAAGTTTCACTTTTTGAATATGAATCCATTGAGAGCAACTCATCAACAGAAATTTGAGATGAATGATTGATAGTCAAATCTGAAATAGTAATCTCAGTCAATACCATTCCTTCAGTTGTATCTCTATTTGTGCATCCAAGGTATAAAAATTGGCCATTAGGAGATATGCTAAGATGCTTGCATTTCTTGAGAAGCCCATCAGTTTGATAAAAACCTGTAACGGTTCCATCTTCTGTTGAGATCTTTCCAATGTACCCTCTTGAGTAATCATCTATAACAAAATACAAGCTTTTATAATGCTCGAACCTCCAAGTGGTCAAATTAAGCAGCCTTTAGAAGATAGATTTAGGCAATAATTCTTAAAGGCAATAGTTTAGGTTTTAAAGCTGCTCAGTCCAATATTTAGGCCAGACCTCATTTAAAGCTTTTATTTTGTTTTTATAATTTTTAATGAAATTTAAGGAATATCTTACCTGATTAAAACGCTGTTTTTTCAGTAGAAAATATGAACACCAATTGGAAATCTCAAAAAGTTTATTTTGATACATTAATCGATTATTCTATGAGGTCTTATACATTGGGAGAAGGTGGCAATTGATCATGGTGCAGGATATATCCTTCGCTTGAATCTAGTACAAAAGAGTTGGGCTTAACTATATAAGGAATAGAGATCGTCCAAACAAGTGAGAAGTCTGCAAGTCTTTTCTCAAAGCTCGTCTCTGTAAAAGTGTCAACTGGAAGAGTCACTGCTGCTACTGAGACTACATAAATGCTGGTCAGATCGCTTGAAGGCACCATATTTATGACCTTCCTGCTTAATTCATTGTATTTAAATCTCAAGGAGACTTCTCTAAACTGGTCATCGTCCGAAGCTTCACAAATTTTGAGTCTGACAGTAAGAAATGCCAGAATGAACAGCAAAAGTCTGAATAGAATTTTCATTTTGTTAATAATTATGATTGGCCTTTCAACAAGAATAGCTTTAAATGGGGTTTTGGGGTTTTGGGGTTTTGGGG